TTGATGCTACTGCTAGTTTGCAATAGTTCAATATGGAAGTCACATGAGTTGCTCATTATGAATCACTCACATATTGATCAACTTTGCCATCTATCATATTTTCACCTTTTATATTGGTTCAAACTAAACTGAAAGTAAAGATAAAGAAAGAAGAAAAGGATATAAATGTTAGAATCCAAACTGCAATTACGTCTGCGTCCTTCATCAGATTGAGTGGAAGGTACGTGTTAAAACATGAAATACATAGTTTCTCGATTGACGTCAACTTCGATACTTGATGATGTAATCTGATTCAACGATGGCAAATCTTTTGATGTTTTCATGAATTGATCAATCACGTTTGAATCGTGAAGTTATGAACACTTTTATACATAAGAACTGTTGCCATAGAAAACTGTTGATAGTTGCTCGAATCTTTACTTAGTTCATCCATTAATGATCATTAAGTTATAACTCATACTTTTCACCTGATCCAATATTGAACATATCTCAGTTTTGATTTTACCACGTATATTTATGTTATACTTGTCATCAATATGTCATAGTAAAAAGAAAAGAAGGAAGAAGAAAAATTAAAGAAATTATTCTATAACATATTTCAATTTCTATATTTATCCTTTTATTTAATCGGCACTTACTCAATTTTATTTACTGACTTTTAGACTTATTAACAAATCTCATTACTTAGAAACTGATCATTTAACCTATTTTACTGATCACTTAAATCCTAGTCAGTAAGTATTGAAACATAAGTAAGAGAAAATAATCATAGAAGGAATGACAAGCAGCAATACCGATCAAAAGCTAAGGAAGACATTATAGAAATATAAACGATTGAATAAAAGAATAAATATGTATACAAATAAATACAGATATGAGGATATAAAACTAATGATAGAACTTAATGTCAATGGTTGTCAAGATGGCATGCTTTATAGCTGTCGAGGCTTAAGAATATAAACATAGAAGTGCAAGGATAGAAGAAAAACAATAATATTTGAGAATGCGTTAGTGATGTATAGATGTTAAAGACTAGATATGAAGAAACAAGTTTGTTATTATAAACATAGAAGTTTAGTCCAAGAATGCAATTCAGAAATATATAATCAAAGAATATTCCATATGAACACAACTGAATTTAGTCATTTTTTATTCAGAGCTATAGATCATAAATTGATTAAATACAGTCATAGAACAATTCAGTTTAGACGTCATTATATATTAACATCTAGCTTCATGGAAAAATAGTTTATAAGTCTCTTCAGTTGGTGAAAGGATTATTTCCAGAAAACTCCTGAGAATTCGATATAAGAAAATGTTTTAGCTTCTTGTATGTATTATTTTTATTTTCTTTCCTTGAGAAAAAAATTAGTGAAAAGAAGTTAATGTATGCAATGCTTTGGTATTTTTGCTATTCTATAACTCCATCGCAGATCATAGAGACAACTGACTGAATTTCGACCATCGAATAATACTAGAGTTAAATATAATGCTTGGTACTGTCAACAACATATGCCTTCTCCAAACAACTCATTACTGTAAGATGCTTTTTAGCGATATATAAGATTAACATGCGATGCAAAAGTGTTTGGAAAAAGTCAAACTTTGTAAAACAATATTGACATTTTCTAAACCAATGAATTTTTTGTTAGAAAAAGTAACGCGTGAACTGCAAATTATGTACCAAATTCATTTTTTCAAGAAAAATTTAAGAAGAAGGAAAAGCTAAATACTAAATATATCTAATAGAGTTTTTGCAACTTAAAAAGTTTCTATTTCTCAATCATTTTGAGTTACGAGGACAAAGAATACACCAAAATGTAGCCTAACAAAATTTCTATAGTTATCAACTTAAAAAAAAGCAAATTTACTTTCATTACACTATTGGAAAGAGCACTCTTTACACTACAACAATCAGCATTAAAAGTGTTTTTTCATTTTCATTTCTGATGTAGAATATTAAACGTAAAATAAAAAATGATGCTGTCCGATGATGAGGTTGCAAGAACATTAGCTCGGTATTTTTCTTTGGAATTTCTTCCTTCTTAGATTTGTTCTGAAAAAACATACCTAATACAAAATGTATAGTTCTGAATTCACTCTTTTTTTCAATCGAAACAAAGTTTTCATTGACTTAGAAGTTAGCAATATGGTCTATGAGAATTTAACAGTTTTCCAAAGATTTTAGCATCGCTTTTTATGAAGAAAACACCCGCGACCGTTGTCAATTGAACTCTAACTGCCTTTTGAAGGATATGAACCTCCTATAGAGTCAGTACACTTTTCTCCAACGTATTTAATTAATATGAAAACTTATCCATTGAAATTATTTTTATTGAAAAAGAAACAAAGATATTAGTACGTGACATATAAAAAAATATTTTTCATACATCAAATTTTTTTTTCATGTAACAATTATCGACTATATTAATATGAATTCTATTCTAGATTATATATAAAACATTTTATTGTAAAATTATGAATTCGACTTCATCTTTTAAAAATCGTTATCGTGTTGGGAAAACTTTGAAAAATATGCTTATGGGTTACTTCACTGAATATGAAACACAAAAATTAGTTGTGATATACGACACAAAATATACTGTATTACTTCGTATTATGCAGATAATTATTCTTATCTATTCTACAATATATTTACTTTTATATGAAAAAGGTTATCAAAAACAAACTACAACAATTACATCGTCAGTAACACTTAAAGTAAAAGGCATTGGTTATGCTCATATACCAGGAAATCAAACAATGATTATTGATGGAGCGGGTATATTGAAAAAAAAACAAAAAGGATCTGATTGAGAATTGAGTCATTATTTTATTTTAATAGATTATATTATTCCATCATCAGAAAATCATGCTATATTTATTATGACAAGTTTTGTTCAAACTGATCAGACACGATCTACATGTGCTGAGAATATAAAAGTTGAAGAAGCAATCTGTCGCAATGATAGTGAATGTTTCAATAAATCATTTACATCAGATATGAATGGACGTTGGACAGGTCGATGTTTATTATCACCAGGAAAAGATATTGGCAATGAGATAACAAATATTACAAAAACTAGAATGGGTTTATGTGAATATGCAGGTAGACGTTTTGTTTTTAGATTGCAAAAGTTAACAGAGAAATTTTTGTATATTAATGTCATAGTTTGATATTTATATATAAAAGCTTGTTAGCGCAGCCCCAGAGGAGCTGAAATGTGGAACTCACGTATATCTTTGAAACTTGTTATCCTGATGTCTGATGTTTAAACTGCAAAATACCTTTTCTCGAGTATTTATGAAAGCATTGATATATTATATATAATCGAAAGCCTTCTATGCGCGGTTGCACAGGTCTGTACTGGAGAATGGAGGGGGAGGGGGGTATGTCTGTAATGTTCTCTTTCCCGTTGCTATGTGTCTGTAATGGGGTGGGGGGAGCCGCCAACCTCGAACTGAAAACTTATACTCACTATTTTCTTCGAAAACATACGTGAGTTCCACAAAAGCAAATGAAATATTGCTTTTGCATTATGATTGATATTTTAGTCATTGCAACAATATCTTACAGGACGTTTATTATGAGAGTATAGATGAAACAAATGACTAATTTACCGAAGATCCTTGTGATGTGTGGCACGTCGAGATCATACCTTCGAAATATAAATAACTTGAAATCTATGAAATTCTATCGATGTTGTCAATAAGAGCTGTTATAGGAGTAGAAAGTGTTATGACTTCAGAGTTTCGAACTATGAATGTCGGCTGTTTTTTACGTAGATTATAAACGGTTAAACAAAGGGTAGCGGCGTATAAGATGTTGATTTGGTCCACAGACTAATGTCGACTATGTTATTTATGATTCTATCCAGGAAAATATGGCAATTCTTTTAATAATATGGAATTACACCATATTTGATGCCGTATCTTGAACTAGGACATCATATGTGTTGCTTTGTGGAGCAGTTTGTAGCAAATCGAATGGCATATAAAAAAATCATGTTTTCCTTAAATTTTGATGTGTCGATAGATCATGTACTAGTCATAATCCTTGAGGAATATATATGATACTCATAGACATTGTGACTTCTATGGTGTTCTAAAATAAACTTACGCAAATTTTGTTTTTAGGCCCAATTTGATACAGTAACAGTGGGTTCTTCAATTCTCTATAATGAATACTTTTCATTCTTGCTTGTTTCATACTTAAAAATGATCTCTTTTCTTAGATGTACGTCATTTTTTTTGACTATAGAATATTTCAGTAGGATCAACTGTGTGTTACAGAGGAAGTGAGTACCAACATGAAACTTTCTCTAAAATTATACACTATGGAACTTCAAATGTTTTATAACTAACATTTTTCAGAGCTATAGGGATTCATTGTCGATTTTCAGGAATGTCATCTTGAATAGCTTATCTTCGAATGTGAGAGTACCGGTATATTGAAGGTATTTCAACAGTACAGAATGCTCCTATTAAAAATTTGTAACCATTAACAATCTATGAGAATATGACTGTAAGTAAGAAGTATGTTATTTTTACTATATGTTTTTCAAATTCTTATTCTGAATATTCAGGTCCCATTTATACAGGAAACTCTAGAAGAAGGCATAAATATCTTATGTTCATTTCAAAAATAATTTTTTTCGCATCTACATATGCCTTTACAGGACTTTAGAAGCTAAAAAAGCATTTTTCCTTTATAAAGCCGTCATTTCCACTTGTTTATCACGGATACCATGCTAATTTTCCATGCTTAAAAGGTTTCTGTAGGACAGTTGAGTATTGTTGCAATATCCTCACTATAGTAGTGCCCTCATATCCGAAAATAAGCTACTCAAGATGACAATCCTGCAAATCGACAATGAATCCATATAACTCTGAAAAATGTTAGCTATAAAACATATAGAGCTCGATAGTGTACAATTTTAGAGTAAGTTTCATGTTGATACTTCTTGCTATGTAACATACAGTTGATCCTACTGAAATATTCTATAGTCAAAAAAATAACTTAAATCTAAGAAATGGAACAACTTTTAAGCATGAAACAGACAAGAATGAGGTGACTTAATCTAGCGAGTTCTTTTACGCAAAATTGTTAAGACTGGCTGTCACTGTAGCGATAGAATATCTATCAACAGTCATCGAACTTTAATTGCACTTCTACTTACTCACTATTAGTCCGAAACGCACAATTTTTTTGGAATTGTTTCAAGCATATTCTGTTTTATTCAAAAGAGTATTTCATTCTGTCTCATTTCGTGTAAGAGCTGTTATTACTTTATTCAAAAAATCTATCATAAGTGATATGATTCTTCCGGCAGGGTATGATTTAATAGCTTGTCAATGAATAATGCTTAAATTTGTTTGATATATTTTTTCGTGTAATCCATTTTCTCTTACATACCATATGGCAGAACAAAAGAAATCTCTGTTAAGTATAAAGTGATCTATAATTCACTTAATTCTGACTTAGGCCAAGATATTTAAAACATGAACATTATGTTCGGTGTACGAGAAGAGCACTTTTTGTACTAGTTTTAAGCGAGTTTCATGATACTACCTAGACCTTTTACGAAAACTAATGACATATTTGAAACTACCACAAAAATCTGAGTCAATTCATTCAATTTTTAAAATCTCCTGAGCATCTTTGTTCTCATCGGAGAATTCAGTAAAGGTGACCATTAGCATCAAGTGAAAAGATGAATCTAATCAAAACATCAGTGTAACCGAAAAATAAAATTCCATATATCTCAAAAGTTAAACGCATTTAAATGAACAACAGATTAACTGGTAGAACCGTTCTTTTCATTATTATCACTTTTTGTCTTAATCCTGAGGAAAACTTAGCTAAATGTTACGACGAAAATAGAAGTATTCAGCAAATTTTTAAAAAGTACGGCAAAATACTGTCCAATCCTAATAATGTTGCATAAATTTATTATTATAAAAATTGTGTCATTTTTCGTCAGAGAATCACCCATGTTCTTTACAATATTACTTAATCAAAACTTGTTTTGTTTGCTTTTGTGTCAATAGTTGAAAGCAGCAGCTTTCAGTTGTTACTTTGGATGATTATTAAGTTTTTTTCTCAAATTTTTATCTCAACAATGAATTATGATGTAAAAGTTAACAGTTTTTGTCCATGAATTGAAAGACAGGGTTATTTCGTTTAACGATTAAATGAATATAAATAGAGAATATTTACTCATCAGAAACTACTGGATGATTAAAAGATCATTAATCGAATCTTTCTTGAAAATCTTCTTAATAAGTTTTTTTACTAGTAAGAGATTTTTTATAGGTTGGTGTCCATCACAAGATGATCTTACATCAACTCTACTTGTTGAAGAAGCTCCTAATTTTACACTATTTATTAAAAATTTTATTGAATTTCCAGTATTCAATGTTAAACATAAAAATATGGTTGATAACTTTAAAAAATCATGTACTTTTCATCCAGAACACTATAAAGATTGTCCTATATTTAGTATTGATTATATAATGAATGAAGCGGAAAAAAATATTACAGAACGTAATTTAATGTTACAGTACGGTGGTGTTATACGTATTAAACTTGATTGGGATTGTAATCTAGATCGAAATATAAAATTATGTAAACCTCAATATTCATTTGCTCGTCTTGATGTACCTTTTCATGAAAAACCATTTTCAAAGGGTTTTAATTTTCGTTATGCTTCTTATTGGAAACATGATGAAGAACGTTTTCGTACGTTAACAAAAGTTTTTGGTCTTCGTTTTATAATTTCTGTTAGTGGTAAAGCTGGAAAATTTGATTTTATTCAATTAACTTTAAATACTGGTTCATTAGTTGGACTCTTTGGTTTAGCAACATTTGTTTGTGATATTCTTCTACTTCGTTTATCAAAAAAAGCACGGATTTATCGGAATTATGTGTTTGAAAGTGTAAATTTACGAAAACTTATTGATAGTACAATGACTGTGTCAAAAAAATACCTTTCAACAAATGACGATGAATTTTCAAATTCCGACTCAAATATAGAGGCAGAGTTATCATTTGAAACACCTGAAAATAGTCCAGCATCTCCCGGAAGAACTGTTGTCATGGGTTCAGTTACTTTCATTAATTCGAATCAATGAACGTATTATAAATTGATTTGAGTTAGGTATTTTATATTATAGATAACAACGGTTTTCTTTGTGGATAATTTCGTTGCACTCCTTAGTTTTTATTGATCATACATATGTATATTTATTTTTTGAAATAAATAAAAACTTAACCTATTGAAGTCGAAATTATTCTTTAATCGACAAATGGATTTTGGAAACAATTCATCATACAACAATTTAAAAAAAAAACTCGGTCTCATCATTGTCAATGCCATTCTAGTTCAGGTATGCTTCGATCGCTCAAAAAGAAGACAACCTATTGATATATTTTGAAATTTCTTGTACTTATTTTCGAAAGAAAAATTAAGGTTTATAAGTGCTAAGATTGGAAGTTATAAAAAAGATAACATTATTTTATTGATTTTATTGAATAGAGTTTTATTACCGATTGTAGAAACTAGAGATTAGTATCATAACACATATACAGTATTGAAAACTTGAAATTAAGGAAAACATTTAAGAACAGAGATAGAAACAGTCTATTGAATCCGATAGAAAATTGACTACTCTGCCATTCCATCAGAAAATGAGGAAAGGTTGTTTGAAGTTGTTCTCACACTGAGAGCAAATGATTGAACTGGTTTTGACTAATTCTTGCTTAAACGTAATAGCAAGAAGTTGATAAATGATTTTTGAATAAGTGTAATATCTTTTTTTGTAAATTTCAATCGTAGCACTTATATACCTTAATTTTTCTTCCTAGGAAAAGTGAAAAGCATTCCGAAATATACCAATAAGTAGTGTTCTTTCTGGACGATCAAACAATACTAGAATAAGAAGAAATAAATGAATTCAGGGCAAATGGCATTGACAATGACGATGTCGAGTTTTTTTGAAAACTACTGTATGTCACTTGAATTTATTTCATTAAAACCTAATGGATGTGAGTGTAGTGTTTTTGTGAGTATATTCTTCTCTCATGTCAACATTTGCTTTAACGCACTCAACCTGCAACAAAAATATGGGAGTGGAATAAAGTCTCTTTCTATTGTGGTGTTCATTCTTACCATTACTTGTAGATGAAGAGACAAGACAAGCCTTATTCTGAAAAAAATAAATGTCAATCAATCAACAGAGAGAATAACTTTGTTTGAGTAACATCATTCGAATTCGGACGAGTTATGCTATATTTTATTCTGGGTGTGATCCTCAGGCTTCATATGCTTTCTCGCGGATCCATTCATTTCCTTCACATAGATGAATATTTCGTCTGATTCCTGGAAAAATTGTTCTTCTTTGAGCTTCAAAAGAATTTTCTCAATAATTGTGTATATGAAATAACTTGCATATAAATCAATTAATGGAAGCTGTATATTTGTACTCACTCTTTGTTTGCTATAATTAATATTGAATATATCTATGATGCATATCGTCAAAATTATTTTCTTCTATTTTGTGACTTACAGATAATACTATGAAGGTAAAATTTTTTAGCAAACATTCATAAGAAATAATGAGTAAAAAGACAGAAAGGAATAGATGCCTGTATTTGTAAAAATTTCCGTTGAGACAAACTCTCCGTTTGCTATATGTACAAAACATTCATCAACATGACAAGTGAGGAACTTTGAAGAAGGTTCAAGAAGTATTAAAAAAATGCTACGACGATCTCGAAATTAATCTCTTCGTATATTGTCAAAAGATGAATTTGACACTTGGAAAAATTGCAATTGTACTATTGCGAGAAGCCCAACTATTAAAGAGAATCGATGAATGATTAAAAAATAATGAAATCTCTTAAATTCTTTATCTCAAAATTTATATCCTATTTCAAAGTTTAGTAAGACGTATTACTGGAATCGAACATGTGATGAATGATTAAATAATTTAACTGTTATCAATATTAATAAAATATTGAAAATGTTATGGACGAATTTATAAAATTAAAAGATAGATTAAGTTTTATCAAACAATTTAATTAACAAGTCTATGTGTATCATTTATTTTCTTTTTTTCTTATTTCCTGATTGTATTGTGCAATCATCAAATATGAATAAAGATGGATAAAAATCAACTGCGACATGTTCACCTTACATGCATACTATAAAAAGTGCCGTCGAAGATTGACACAAAAACCTTTATGTCCGCCTATCGAAAAATTTTATCAGTATTAGACGAACCGTTACGTATCACTCACGTCAAATTTTAAGCCGTACATTGAGTACAAAACCTTCTTCAGTATCGTCAATAATTTCTTTCTGACAATACCACTTTGTAGTATTATTTCGAGTGATTATGTAACAGCAACATTTATTCTAGAGATATGAACTGACAAGTGCCCATTTCAAGGCTCTATTACAGTATTCTATTTTATCTGTAACGCAGTTTGTTACTCTAAAAGGAACCAATTTTACTGGAGGGTGTGGGTGTGAATATATGTAACTCAATAGAAAAAAAGATCGACCTATCTCTTAACGAAAAAACAAGTTCAACCTGCTAATCTCAACTCTTAATTTTCAGCGATCGATCAAGTTGAAATAGTTTGAAAATATTGATAACATCCCTGATAAAATAATGAATAAACACACTCATAAATTCATGAGAAAAAAATACTTTCATTGAGAAAATGACTGAGCCCACATGCAATGCCACAAAAGAGCATTTGGATCGTAAACATTATTTTACTACACATCTGAACACTCAATGTCGGTAGCCATTAGTGCTTAACTTTCCTTTATAGAACTATTGTGTATTGCATTACTGAGTAGTGTTATTCCATGATTCCACAACATGAAAAAAAGAGCGATGTTGCCATTTGGCAACACCAGACTGTCCAGGAACAAAACTTTTTCAACTAGCTTTTCGTCTGCAATTGTTGTAACAAGTATTCTGTGATATTCTCATGAAAATACATGTATATTTATTGCAGGGAAAGGCATACCATTCTCCTCGTCATGGATACAGGTATGAGTGTTCGTTTTTACTTCATCCACCTACACCCGTACTCATGCATATCCACAACTACACTAGGAATACAAAATCTTCCTGAGCTTTTTGATAACATACAGGACGTGTCGAAAAATTTGTCGGCGTTCTAAATATGTATTAGTTCTGATATTCAAGATTTCTCTGCTAGATCATCCACAAAATCTTTTTTTCTTGTATAGAATTTATAATCAAATTGAATAACTACTAAATGTTGCACTGTCATAAACGCAAACAAAAAATCTTCTGATAGAGAACCAGAAAGGGCTATCATATGATTATTGTTAAGATGTTTCTATACACTTATGTCATGTTTATCTTATCTTTAAATAGATTAAGCATTAATGTAACGCCTGACTGCCTTGGAGCAGGAAAAGAAAGCGACAAGACTTGCATCTAAACTCAAGGGATAAAAAGATGTATTTTCTTGTTTGATGAATATGATAACAGAGAACAAAAAATCAACACATGAGAACATTTTTGCAGACCCAACATCCTTTATCTGTCCATGAATATGACTGTTCTATAAAAACTTCAAAATCTTCTATAGTAAATAACTCTAGTTATATTGTGACATAAAAGGAATAAAATTTTTGCATGTGATTAATAGCAATAAAACTTTTTCTAACTCGTTCAATGAAGTAAAATAACCAAGATCAATGATTTTAGAGCCCACAGCCGTAAATTTTTGACAGGAATTCGATAATCCGACCTGATGGTCAGATCTTTTAGTTTCGATGGAAACACGACAAAGCCAGCCACTGTATTCTTGATTCCAAGTTCCTACCATTTCCCTGAGTTTTTTGGTTGGAATCCACCTGTGTGTCTTGATGTGAGAAGAGCAAATATATGCACTAGAAATTGTTAATACCACTAGTGTCAGTTGAATTCGATTATTTTCAGTAATAGAATTGAATCGAGTTGATCACTGTTATATGTTGAGTTACCCAGCTCTAAATCTGATACATACGGCTACCAGCAAAACAAGCAAATTTACGTTGCTAAATAGCTTTTCAATAAGAATCTGGGGCACACTGTGTTTTTTCTTAATAAGCACCAATAATTAGGATAAATTGCAAATAACAAACACAATAACAAATTTCTGCCTGCTAAACTAACATCAATCATTAAATATAAAGAAATCAAATGATTTTTCTTTAGCTTGATGAATTAATATACGACATAATGAAGAATCTAATTATGAATATGATGCACTTTTGCAACTTTCATTTGTTAAATCAATTGATAGGAAAGACAGGGCATGTTCAATTGAATAGGAGACCCTCAAAGCACATCCATATCCCAGTCGATATTTGTTAAAACTGCACTTCACGAATATTCATGATTACCTTGGTTTCAATTATAAAAGATAAAAATAGTTACCTCATTATTTAACTGAACAACCTCTTGTGTACGTCGATAACAAAATAACTATGAGTGTCCGTAACCACAAACAACGCTTTGTTTCTATTAAAACAAAAAGTGCAGTTCAGAAGTAGTGTTCGTATACTATTCTTTTTGAACTGTATCAGCAGTTCTAAACTTGAAATTTGAACTCACATGTTCAACTATTCAACCATCAAGTTTAGGTATTCAAGAAATGCTGTGTGTGTATCAGAAACAAATGAATATTTGATATTCAACTTTCAAGTTTGGCATGTCCAAAAGAAATAATTTTGATGAACGTAAACATGCCTTCCAAATTGGTAGGTCAACGTCAAACTATTGGAAGAATTCTGATTACGTCTATAGCGCATTATCTGTTATTGCAATAAACTGTGGAGTATCTCGTATTGTTAATCCAACAGAGATAGTTTGTTTTGTACAAGAACAATAAACACAGTCGACGAGAATAGCTATGACAAAATTCTATATAAATATAGAATTTTTCACGAAAGAACGAACAATGAAAAAAACTTGATATTGACAAAATAAAAGTTTTTATCCAAGATGAAGACATTCTTTTCTTTTTTAATCATCACATTAAATTTGACTATATTTTATTCGATTAGCTAGATATAATATTTAGTTCCATAGAACATTAGACTGATTAGCCTGAGCATCAAAAGAAAATTTTAGTCTTATTGAAAAAAAGAAACAATTAGTAAGAACTAATTATATAGTAGCAAATCTATCACTGATGTAATAGAAAACTAAAAGAAGCATAAAATAGATCAACAAATGATAGAAGAAGACAACTGTCACTCATTTATACCCATGTAGGAGTGCACAATTTACTTTCCGCAGAATTACTTTCCGTTGATTGTTTTCAGTGTTAATTGGATTTTTTTCCACAAAAAATTATGATTTCTGACGCTGAGGATTTACTTTCCATTGATTGAATAAAGATAATTTACCAATTAACGATTTTTTCGTATGAGGATTTACTTTCGGTTGCTTACTTTGACGAAACGAAATCAGTAGATCAGTCATATGACTGATCTACTCATTTCATTTCGTCAAACTAATCAACCGAAAGTAAATCCTCATACGAAAAAGTCGTTAATTGGTAAATTATTTTTATGCAATCAACGGAAAGTAAATTCTCAGCGTCAGAAATCATAATTTTCTGTGAAAAAAATCCAATTAACACTGAAAACAACCAACGGAAAGTAAATCGTGTAACCCGTCCATGTAATAGCTTACATGATATATAGAATATTATTGAAATGTAGATATTCATCAATTGGCGTTTGTATGTAATCAATGAAAAGATTAATAACTATAGATAATTTTTTTCTGTTCTTTCATCTTTCTTCCTAAGAAAAAAACCGAAAGTTCTTTTTTATCTAAATTAATTGATGAAATAGATTTGAAATGGTTATCCTTTTTCTTATTTACATACGATACTTATCCTTAGAAGGATATTTATTCATGTTTCGCAACATATACGACGATATAACAAACAAATTCTTACTTTTATCAGGCTGCAAACCAACATTTTACCATATGTTTTAAAAATCATAATTCCATTTCAAATGTATATTACATCATTATTCATCACACTTAATGTAATTAGTCGTCTTTTTGCTATCGGAAAGAGAAGAATTCAATTTATCTTGTTGTTATGGATTTTAAGTAACTAACATGTCTTACTGTCATTTGATTAGAATTTATCTTGATATATTCTTACCAATCGAATACATCGATATTCTATCTAATCAAGGCAAGAGTTATGAAATGGGTCAGCAAGTTCATTCTACCAATTATCAAAATTTTCTTTGTGACAATGACAAAGAACTTTTTCAAAATATACTAGTTTGTTGATCGTTTCAAAAACTGTTCAATGAATACTACTAAAACAATAATGAGACATGTTAATGATTTAAACTCTATCATAATGAATGTTAATTGAAGTAAACATAGAAAAAAAAGATGCTTCAATATTGGTTGACAAATGTGGAAAAATACTAGATTTTTTTAAGTTACAGTCAGCAGTGAGGAACATGGAAGAATTTTTGTGAACTTTGTATTTAAAAATATAAATTCATAACTTTCCTCCTACAGCAAAGAAAAAGAGAAGTGTTGAATTAAGGTTAATAATCAACAACGAAATTATAAGCATTTGAAGTATCATGATGACTTTCAAACAATAGGTAATGATCAAGACATTTCAAATTTATTATGTAATCAAATGATTTGAAGATATATACTTTTTTAATATATTTTCGGAGTAAATATTATTACAATTGTAATTCTTCAATAGAAAAGAAGAAAAAAAGGATAGTAGAAGATGAAAAGAATTTGTTTTTATCGTTTCATGAGCATTTTCATTGTTTTATACACACAATACTTAAATAATATAAACATTCATTTACGAATGATGCATTCAACAAAACCATTTGTCCTAATGAAATTCGAATACTTTCAATGGTTTTTCATACAATTGAATTATTAAATCTAAATTTTTGATTGTTATTTGATTTTCTTTAAGTGCTAACAAACTTGACAGACAGTAAGTCATACGTGTGAAAATCGCTTTTGTTGTTACACATGTTTTTCTCAATTACTATCGAAGAGAAGTTTCAGTATCTTTCGATGAATGTTTCATGTTGAATCGTTGTTCAAAATATTTCATTGTGAAAAAGAAATATAGAAATACAATAGATTGAATAAAAAAATAGAAATGTATACAAAGAAGTAGAGATATAAAGCTATAAAACTAATGGTATAACTTGATATGAATTGTTGTCAAGTGTGCATGCTGAATGGGTCTAGAGACTTAAGAATATAAGTACAGAAGTGAGGAAATAAAAGAAAAGCAGTAATATTGAAGAATGTGATATTGATGTGTAGATGTTAAAGAGTAGATATGAAGAAACAAGTTCGTTATTATAGACATAAAATTTCAATCAAAAAATACTATTCAGTAACATATGATCAAGGGATACTCAACATAAATATGTTTGCCTTCAGTCATTTTTTATCTAGATTAGTAAATCACAAATCGATGAAATACAGTGACAAACCTATTCAATTTACATGTTTTTATACATCAACATTTGACTTCTTAGAAAAATAATTTATAAGCCTTTTCAGTACGTATAATGTTATTTTTCCGAAAATCTCTGAGAATCTGATATAAAATTATGTTTTAGCGTCTTGTCTGTGTTACTTCTATTTTCTTTCTGTGAAAAGAAATAATGACAAGACGTTATTGTAGACAATACATTGGTATTTTTGTCATTCTATTATTCTATCACAGATCACGAAGACAACTGGCTGAGTTTTGACAAACGAATAATCGTAGAGTTGAAAATGATGCTTGGTGCTGTCAATAACATAGGTCGTCTGCAAACAACTCATTACTGCCAGATCTTTTTTTAGCGATATACAAGATTACGAAGATAAGATATACGATCTTTTTCAGTTCAACTCTTGCTGTATTTTGAGAAGCATCTTCTTCTTTTAGAATCAGCGCATCTTTCTCTATCTTACTTAATGGAAAAAAAACACTTATCTCATGAAAATGTTATAATTGAAGAAAGAAATAAAGATATTATTACGTAACAAATATACAACGTTATTAACATATCAAATTTTGTTTCTTGTGAAAATGATCGAATCTTATTATTAATTCTATTCTAGAATATATATATATATATAATACATTTTATTGTAAGAAATGAATTCGAATTCATTTGTCAAAGATCGTTATCATATTGGGAAAAGTTTGAAAAATTTTTTTATGGGTTATTTTACTGAATATGAAACACCAAAATTAGTTTTAATACATAGTGCAAAATATGCGGGTCTACTTCGTATTATACAAATCATTATTCTTATTTATTCTATAATTTATTTACTTATATACAAAAAAGGTTATCAAAAACAAAGTACAGCAATTACGTCATCAATAACACTTAAAGTAAAAGGCATTGGTTATGTTCATACGCAAGAAGACGAAACAATAATTATCGATGTAGCAGGTATCTTGAAAAAAAACCAAAAGAATCTATATTAAGAATTGAGTCATTATTTTATTTTAATAGATTATATTATTCCACCATCAGAAAATAATGCTATATTTATAATGACAAATTTTATTCAAACTGATCAAACACGAACTAAATGCGCTGAAATGATAAAACTTAAAGAAGCAATATGTAAAAGTGATACAGACTGTTTCAATAAATCATTTACACCAAATATGAATGGTCGTTGGACAGGTCGATGTTTATTGTCACCACAAATAAATGTTGTCAACGGGACAACAAATATTACAAAAACTAGAACGGGTTTATGTGAATATGCAGGTAGACATTTTAGTTTTATATTGCTAAAATTAACATGAAGTTCGTATCTATTAATGGAATAGTTTGATATTTACAAACTAGAACCAATGAAATATTGTTTTCGTATTATCTTCTGTATTCTTGACATTATAAACAATATCTTAACAGGGCATACAGTACGCCAATATAAACAATGCATATAAATGTTTTACTGAATATTATTGCGATATGTAACATGTTAAGATTATATTGTAGAAAGATAAACGATTCGAAGTTTATGCAATTCTATCAATGTTATGAATAGGATTTATTGTAAGATAAAGAAAATATTCGTTTGAACAATCAAAATTACTATGATTTCTGAATTTCGACATATGAATGTCCAGTTCTTTCAGATAGAGTTTAAACGGTTAAACAGAAGGCAAGGAAGCAAAAGATGTTACTGTGATTTACAGAACACATTCAACTACTTTATTGGTGATTCTATGCAAAAAAATATGATGATTCTTTCAATAATAAAATCATGCGAAACTATTAGAATTGAGCGGTACTTTTATGATTGAATATTCACCAATAGTTATTAAACTTTCATTATACTCATACTTGTTCAGTATTAACCTTAAATGCAGCATTTTTCTTTGCAATGTTTCAATTTCGTTCTGTATTGATCAGAAACAGCATTCATGTTTGTTTTGTTTGATGTAACAACTATTAGATAGTTGTTACATTAAACGAGACAAAAATAAAGTCTCTCTCTGACTGATACAGAATAAACTTGAAACATTATTAAAAAGCTGTGGGTTTATGGTTAATACTGAACAAGTACGAGTCAAATGGAAGTTAAATGACAATGTGTGAAGTTCTTTTTCCAAAGTAACGCTCAACCTCAACAATTTTGAGTAGATTTATCATTAAAACAATTACTATCTTTCTTTGCAAAAAATCAACAATAAAGTCGTCGAAAATATCAGGTAGATCGAATTAGTATCTTATACAGCCGTGCTCTTTTTAATACTACTAAATAAAACTGTTCTTTGTTTAATTTTGTGTCAATTGTTGACCTAAGTAGCTTTTTTTATATTGAACAAATATAAAATTTGTTTCTCAAACTCAAATTCCAAAGATAAATTATGATGGAAAAGCTGACAATAGTAGTTTTTTGATGATTAAATGAGTATAAATAGAAAATATTTATTCATTGTAAGCTACTGGATGATTAAAAGATCATTAATCGAATTTTTGATGAGCATATTCTTAATAATATTTTCTAATAGTAAGATAATTTTTATAGGTTGGTGTCCACCAGAAGATGATCTTACATCGACAATGCTTGTTCAGGAAGTTCTGAGTTTTACAATATTTATCAAAAATTTTATTGAATTTCCAGTGTTCAATGTTAAACATAAAAATATGGTTGATAGTTTAAAAAAATCATGTATTTATCATCCAAAAGATCATAAAGATTGTCCAATATTTAGTATTGATTATATCATGAATGAAGCGGAAAAAAATATTACAGAACGTAATTTAATGTTACAGTACGGTGGTGTTATACGTATTAAGCTTGATTGGGATTGTAATCTAGATCGAAATATAAAATTATGTAAACCTCAATATTCATTTGCTCGTCTTGATGTACCTTTTTATGAAAAACCATTTTCAATGGGTTTTAACTTTCGTTATGCTTCTCATTGGAAACATAAAAAGAAACATGTTCGTACGTTAACAAAAGCTTTTGGTCTTCGTCTAATAATTTCTATTAGTGGTAAAGCTGGAAAATTTGATTTTATTACATTAACTTTTAATATCGGTTCATTAATTGGACTCTTTGGTTTAGCAACATTTGTTTGTGATATTATTCTACTTCATGTATCAAAGCAAGCATCTGCGTATCGGAATCATGTGTTTGAAATTGTTCATTTACGAACACGTGCTTCTAGTACCGTAGCAGTGCCAAGGAAATATGTTCCAAGAAATGATGATGAATATTCAAATTCCAACTCAAATGCAGAAACAGAATTACCATTTAGAACACCTGAAAACAGTCCAGCATGTCCAGGAAAAACAGTTACCATCGGTGCAGTCACTTTTATTAATCTGGATGAATAAAAGTATTATAAACTGAGGTCTGCTAGGTACTTTATATCATAGAAAATAACAGCTTTCTCGGTGAAAATTTTGTTTTTATCCTTATTTTTAGATACTCAGATATATATCTATTTTCTTTCTGAAATAAATAAAAAGTTAATCTATTGAATCCACACTTATTATTTGACCGAAGATTAATGTTTCAAACAGTTTAGTGTGTGTCAGTCAAAATGATTGCATAAAAGTCTTATAGATATGGGTGTGGTGCTTTTGAATGTGTGCTTTTCTTTCGTGTAAAACTCGTATTATCACACGGAACCTTCAACAAAGATATGAGAGTGAAGTGGACTTTCTTTTTATGCAGTACTCATTTGTATCTTTACTAGTAGATGAAGAAACGGAACAAGTTCTATTTTGAAAAAATTAAATGTTCACGAATGAATCAAAATGATAACTGTAATTGACTAACGCCATTCGAATCCGAACGAAGTTCTGTTATAATTTACCTGATGCCTTCTGCAGACCTCATCTTCTTTACCACACATTTAATCAATTGTTGCATCTATATAGTTATCTTATCAGATCTAGTAGGTTGTACGATTTATATTCGGTCATCTGCTGATAAATACGTCATCCTGTTTGCATTTAATCTGTTGCTGGTGCAAAGATAGACACAATATAACCCCCAAAATATTTGCACCTTCACATACGATGCTACGAAGAATAACTTGAAACTTTCTGTTTATATACTAGGCAAGACAGTAGCAAATACATTGACATGTAAAATCGCACTAATGCAAATAGATACATGTATGTAGACAGCACTGCACAACATTCTGTATAACAACTGAATGAGTAATTTATCCTATTATTGGTCTTAGTATTGAATATACTATCGTAATTCTTGGACTATTGAAGTTCTGTTTGATGTGCTAATCGTCAATTATATTTTCACCATGTCTATCAACTAATGTTGATAACTTAGAAGTGAATAGAAAGTTGGCGAATAAGCATCAGAAAAAGCTTCAAGATGATGGGCGACAACTAGATGACAATAATAGATTTGGGAAAATGTATAGAGCAAGAGATGCTATTATACGAAATATTCCATGCAGTTTTCTTCATACATCTCTCAATGAATGTCTAAGAATGATTGGTTTCAACAAAATCTCTTTATTTTGATTTTGTTTTCAAGATCTCTATCAAGCATTAGTAATGGACCACATAAACAACAGATACCATCATGATCGATCACCTTTTATCCTGGTATGTAGAGACTTTTGGATGTTTCAAAAGAAATAAAAAACTTTCTAATGTAGCGTTGGTCTGTTGATTATGATTCGAGAGTTCTGGGCAGCCGGTCGTGACTGAACAGTCTCTCATATTCTCTGGTGCTGATAGTCCTCGTTAGTGAAACAAATTATCAATTTTAGTCGACATTGAAATAAACACAGTGAATGTGGAAGTTTAACCTAGTGTTGCTTCACTTGACTGATTTCTTGATGAACAGGAAGTTCTATAGTTTAAAAAAAGGCCTAGTGAATAATTTTATCAGTATTAGACAAACCTTTACGCATCACTCACATATAATTTTTGACTGTATATCGACTACAACAACTTTTTCAGTGTCGTCAAGAGTTTCTTTTTGACACTACAACATTATCACCAGCATATGATAATGAGTCACTCCGTTGCACTACTTCGCATGGTTATGTAGCAGCAATATTGATACTACAGACATAACTTGGCAAGTATTCTTAGTAAGGTTTCCTCAAAGTATTTAGTTCTCTCTATGATGTACTAGGTTGCAGTAAACGTGAACAATTTGTTCGTACGATTTTCTATTCGATACAAGCAATCGACATATTCTACGAGTCTAAGAGAGATAATATGAATAAATGGCATATTTTCGTCACAATAGGAATACTCACTTATGCCTTAATAGACACTGTACATATGAACATCATGCAGAGGAGTGATATAGATCGAGACCGAATTGAATGGAATATTGACATAGCGCTTTTAGCTAATTGGTGACCTCTTTTTTCACTGTCAAAATTTAGGAGACACATCCTTATATAAAAATTAGATCGCCAATCTTGTCAACTCTTAGAGACAATGATTAATTTTGTAAACAGTTTCGTTTCTAAGCAACTATCATGAATATGGCCATCTTTATTGACAAAAGACTTTTAACAAATATCATAACTTGCATATGATGACAGTTTAGTGTTTGATAAGAACCAGCACGGAAATAGGATTTCTATCATCTAAAGTCTTTTGCGTCGATGAATAATCTCAATTATATAAGCGTAATCACGTTTTAAAGGCTGTAGTCATTACTGTAAAAAAAAGCACTCTAGAATAATAGAACTTGATAAAGTTTATGAAAATGCAACTTACAAAAAAAACCTTTCTTTACTCTTTACGAGATCTTTATTAGGCTTTTCATGAACTCTTTAGAACTGATATATGAAAAGGTTTATGATCTTAAAATGCCACTTGTGAAAGGTTTATGGAAGAGTTTATACTATTCATAAATCCTTAAAGAGTTCTCTATGCATTGCATTTTCATAAGCCCATTGAAAGAATAAATGAACTTCATAAATGCTGTCAAGTAACCTTAAAATCATTTATAAAAAGGGTATCTAAGAGAGTTCCTGAAGATCACGTTAAAATAGTGTTTCATCTTCGATGCTATATCTCTGTTACAAAATACGGAATCGCCCAAAGTTTTAGCGAAGAAACAGGGATGATTGCTGCAAAAGTGAAACGATCTCTATTGACCTAGCAAGCAAGCTCGTATAAGAAAGTATAAAGTCTAAAAGCAGTAATGTAATGTTCAAAATTGATTGTGGAATGAATGTAAATATGTAAACAAAAGAATGCAGTCCGATCAGTCCAATATCTGATTGGTACACTCCTATCTTTATTATCAATGAGACAAGGAAAAAGATTAGTCTTGTGCAATACTCTTAGAGGATATACTCCGAAATCAGTTCGACTAGGAAAACCTATAATGTTTTTTTCCGAAAGCTATTAGATTTCAAAAGCCAAAAAAAAAAGATTTCGTCGATTTGTCCGATAACTTATAATATATAGTGAAATTTCACGAAACTTCAGAAGTTCGTAGTGCATTATCTTTTTTTTGTATTTAAGCCAGTATGGTTCGTGAAAATCATCAATTGCATCATGAATTTGTGAAAGAATATATGAAGCCTTACAAAGAAGTGTTCAAGACCATCACTAACCTAAAGGGAACTTCTCGAGTGGTAAACGAAAAGTTTCATTTTATGACCTAGACAACATTTATGAGAGAGTTGTCAAAACGCTTGAAAATTCTATACCATCTCACAACATGTTGGTGAAAACATAAAAAAATACCTGAATAACGAGCAGAAAAGAAAAAAAGAAAGTTATCTTCTTTCGTTTCGGTCATAAGACGCTTCACTACTATCAGCAGAACTGAATCAAAAAGAAACAAAAAGAGTAAAATAAGTTAATCCATTCCTATCAAAAGATAATGAAACTATTAGAATAACTAACTTATGAAGAATACAAGTTAAGTGAATTCTATACTATATTCTCGTCCTTACAGAGCTGATTAACTATAAGAAAAGGAAATGACGGACAGCAAAGAAACATAAACGAACTTTTTTGCTTGGCTCATCAAATACTCGTCAGCTAAGAGCAGAAATAAATAAAGAATAAAAAAGCAAACTAAACAATGCTATTTGTTTTTTTCAAAAGGTGATGGATAACTATAACAATGACGAAAGGAAATTTAAACAACATCAACTTATTCAACGTTTCTCACAAGATGTTAGACAACTGTCAGAATGACTACATCGTAAAAACAAGCGTAAAATAATCCACCATTGTGCTTAGAATAAGAAATTCTTTTCCAAAAATCGTAAAGTAATCTCTACATCTATGCATAGATATAATAATAGACTAATAACATAAAGAATAATAAATGAACTTGTCTAATTATTATCAAGAATGTCAAACTTAGACGTGAATTCAATTAGCTATCATAGCAATAAATTGTCGAGTATCTCTTATTGATAATCAAACTGAAATAGTCTGATTTGAATAACTCTAATAATAAAATAACTGGCAGGAATTGCTATGACACTGTTTAATATTGAAATAGAATTTGTGACTAGAGAGCCAAGAATGAAAAAAATTCTATGTTGAAAAAATAAACATTACTATCCAAGATGGAAAAACTTTTTTTCATTAGCATTTTTTATTCATGTGATCATATCGATCCTAAAGGGATAGTTGAGCTTCAGAACCCTAGATACCAATAGTGGGCTGAACTAAAATAAAAATAAGAGGAAAAAAGGAACAGAATAGTGAAGCAACAAATATAATATGAAGAGAAAAAAATAACAAGATCAATCAACTTATTGTGGTACTATCATGCTTCAGAGAGATGAGTAATACTTATATATGTATTTTTTCTTTCCTCTTGTACTTATCTCTTCAAGACTTAGACTCCAATTCTCAATCCACGTTGTTTTTGTTTTTTCTTCTTCTCTTCTCTTCTCTCCCTATTATTTTTCTCTTCTTTTTTTTTTGTCAGCATGACCTAGAGTCAACCTTCCAAAACTTTTGCGAAGTAAAATGAAATATAAAAGTTCTACTTCATTGCATACTATCATTAAAATTCGAAGTTTCGTGTTTTACGTTCAGTCCTGATTATCCCGATCGTAGGAACGCATCCGTAGGCTTGAGCTGCACCTTTGCGTACTTTTCCCATTCAAATTAGCAAAGATCGTTCAGAGATCTTTCATTATACATTGACAAAGATAAAGTTCTTCCAGTATCGATAATAATATGTACATTTTAGCAGCATGCAATATAGATAGTTAAGCTCTATACGCTGGAAATCAGTAAACAGAAGGTAAAGTCGAATTAACCTTGTGAAATGGAGTACTACAAAAGTAGAAAAGAGGACCGGTCGCAGTTGTGTAATGTACCACTGATTCTGAAGGAATTCACAAGTGTTGGTC